GCCTTACTAGTAGTAACAAGAAGCTATTAGGAACAAGTGCCACGCTAGTAGTAACAAGTGCCACGCTACTAGTATCAAGTGCCTTACTAGTAGTAACAAGAAGCTACTAGGAGCAAGAGTAGGGGCCAGTGGGCACACATGAAATTACCTGCTAATTCTATTCTTTTTCTTGTAGTTGGAGGGATGCATCAGTTTCGTTTCAGCGGGGTTTGGACGTTTGTAGCTTCAAGCCATTTTGGTCAGTTCTACCAGTGTTGCCAGTGTTATGTTTCGCCGACAAAGTTAATAAGGACAGCGCACACTCACAAACTCCATACATCTCCAGACACTTCGAGGAACCTGGCTCGAATTGGAAAAAGCCTCCACCGGCACCACCAGGGGCTTCCAGATGGATCGCCTGCTGGTGTCCTTGGGGTGTTGCGGTGCCGAGGCGCGAGCGGCGGGCAAGCAGGGGCGCGTTCCTGCGGCGCAAGGGTTTTGTTTCCGCAAGGGCACAAGAGGAGAATGTTATTTTTGGAGATTGGTTTGCTCTGTTATTGTTCTTTTCTTTTTTAGTAGTAGTAGTTGTTCTGGTGTTTATATATGTTGTTTTCTGGTTTGTTGGACCTGCAATTTGTCGGGTCATGTGAGAAGTTAATCAACTCATGGTGCAAGACACCAGCGGTCCCTATAGGTATTTTCTGATTCCAACCAAACAACTTTGCGTCACATGGAAGAGCTTGAACAATGGACCTTATCATTATTGTCAACCGACATACTTCCTCAAATGCAGATGGCGACTTGCAATGCCATGTAGTCATAAGCATGGGCCCAGTTCTATGGATGCTTCGGCGGTTGGCAGATGTGGCACATCTGAGCAACTTACACCCCGAATCATTGCATGTCATTGCTGCAGCTTTGCATTGGCAACAAGCTGCTTGCTTGGCTCCTATCTCCCGCGGCCATTCCCACAACAAGTCTTGCCCCATGAATGTTGCAGAGGATGTTTGTATCAAAAAAGCATTGGGTACTTTGCGCAGGGTAGGCTACAAGCAAGGTAAAACACGATTCTACATATGTGCAAACAAAACAGCTGACACAACATCCAGCAAGTGGATCAAGGATCGACTCCTAAAGCATGAACAGAGGGCCGAAAGCATGAGGACAAGTAGATAGGCCGAGCAGAGAAACAAAAGTTATATAATGACTTGTTCATTCTTTCAGGGGCCAGTACATGGTGAGTTCTTAGCTGAGCATCCATTCCAACTTCCAGCACATTCTCCAAAGTGAAGTACTGCTTTAGCTATGCAGGTGCCAGCCGTGGTTGTCAGATCATTCATGGGTTTGAGCTACAGAGTTGCAAAAACGGGCTAGTGACAGCAGACTTGGACGCGGACCTTAGGTTGAAGGATGGAAGTACTAGATGGACTACATTGAGGTCTGAAGGTTGGTATATTTTACTCAAGTGGTCTTAACATGTCGTTCTTTGAGCAGTAGCAAACAACGCAATTTCACAGGTGAGCAACAGACAGAATATCGAACGGAACTGTTTAGTGGTGTGTGGTCATGGAACCTTCAAAACACTGAGAACTGACAAGGGACCACCCACAGCCAATACCCTTGGATTGAACTTAAATGCGGGCATCCCATGAAACACTTGCAACCGATAGAGGTACACCTAATTTTGAGATGGCAATTGTGATTGACACCATATGTTGTTTGCTGCTCCGGTCCGATGAAGGAAACGCTGTTAAAGATACTAGAGGCCATCAGAGGCCATCAGAGGCCATCCAGGTTCACTACACCAAGTAAACTCTAAAACGTGCATTTGGAGATTGCTCCCAGAACATGCAAAGATCCACTGTAGCAGTCTTGGACACAACCTGAAATGTAGCTCTATCTACCGCCTTGGCCACATTTGGCCACTAGCTTCTCGTCCCACCCGTCTCTCCTCCGGAGTTGGAGATGGTGCAGGTTTGGAGCGTCGCCGCCTGGCTGATCGCGCCCTTGGGAGGTTTGCTACTCGCTGCCACAGCGCGATATCCATGGAGCTCGGTGGAGACGTACGAGGCACGGATGGAGATAGTGGGGAAGGGAAGTGGATCCAACCTAACTAATAGTGGGAAGGGACAAAAGTGGTAATGGATCTGGATCTTTTACATTGCTTTTAGGTTGGAGGCCATTGCTATTAGGTTGGACCAAGGACACCACCCTGAAAGACAACCGATGAGTTCTAATGTGATGAGCGTACTGGCGTGGTAGGTGGTCCATGGTGGTCCTACATGTATTGAGCTCCTAACTGACCCGCAGCCACAGCCATCATATTGTTTGCGTAGGATACCATTTACCATTGTACAATTTTCAACAGCCAGCAACAACCACTACGACTGCTCCTACTACATTTGCACCTGCTTCATCCTTCACCGCAAGCTACTCTGAGACAAGCGTTTGGTGTCAGGCGACGAGCGCCACGCTCTTGCGGGCGCATTTCACCTTGGCCGAAGGCTGTTTCCGCAACTTGGTTCGTGACAAGTCGCTATGCACAGCGGTGGCTGATTGCGATGGGTGGAAGCACTAAATCCGATGTGTGGGTTGACCAAATCCGATCCCTTTGCTTTTTGACAACCTGTGGGAATTTGGCTTTGGGAAAACATCATCCTCAAGGGCAGAGTCCACTCGAGATGCTCAGGGCCAGCACGGAATCAGAAGCACCAGCGGTTCCCATGGCAATCGATGAATATACTGTAAATTATATATATTATATATTATATACACCTTGTATTCACTTGAGTCACCTGAATGTTAAAGGACCTGAAGGTTGGGCCTACAAGGGTGTGCGCAACTTGGTATCTAGATGGCTTGTTAGGATTACCCTCCCTACCCCAGGATTGTACGCTGACTGCCTGCCTGAGTGGCTAACTAACTGACTGAGAGCTCCTTTTTCCGAACGGATATTGCCATTGGTTTGTCAGGTTTCAATCCTGGCTTTGTCTGGCTTTGGTCGACTGTGGTTCTTTAGGTCGAACTTGGTCGCCACCGCTTTGCATGTTGTTTTGAACTGTAGCTGAACACGAACAAGCAATCGCTTCTAGGTGGGAGGCCACTGAGTTGTCAAGTAGCTTCCAGCCTTCCTGACTTGTGCGAAGTGCTTGATCAAGGTGTACGGACCGTGCCTGAAAGAAACAGTCGACAGGCACGGCACCAAGCTCAGCTGTATTGTTTTCGTGAGCTACCTGGTTCCTATGAAGAGGTGTGATGTTTATATAAGGCTACACTGGCTACTACACTGACATTTTTCAGTGGTAACTGCCTTTTTGGCATCAGCGTTGGAATTTGAAGAGCATTCTTTGGAAGCCTGAGCCAGTCGTGGGGAAGAAGTTCAACCCTATACCCAAACATGCAAGCAGTGAGAAAGTACGAGAATGGTTCAATTCATCTCAGTTCCATTGTTGTTGACATGACAACCCCTGGAAAACCGCTTCCTAGTGAGGAATCTGAGCTAGAGTCATCGTCCAGGTCACCAAGGAGACGGCCATGCAAACCGACTGTGCGGTGCGAACCAACGCAGTCGACCTGCGATCCGGACCCGACGGACTTCGCAGGTGTCGCCTCTGCGAGTGCCGTGGGTCCCACTGCAGGACTTGGTGGAAGGGCCACCAGCCTTGGCACGTTTTCGGAGGACCGGCGATGTTCGTTTGGAGTCTTGTTTGGGATGAGCTTTATGCGATGCCCGCTGAAACAAACAACACAAATCCCATAATCCCATACTTGATGATGCAGCGATGCACGTGGTTTTTTTCAGAGCGCAGACCCGAAATTCACGTGCACAGGCAGCTCTTGCGTCCGAACCAGCGCGTGGACTTGCTTGGCGCCCGACCAGGAGAGAGGGATATGGAACCTTGGCTCACGACTGGGTGTGAAAACGGGTCGGCTTGTCAGCTCAACAGGAATGCATTGCGTTCGGTTTGCCTGCTAAATCTGCCATCAGGGATGGTGTTTGGCTGAGGTTTCGACAAACCAAAAGGTTGCTTAAGCAATGTTGAGCTTATTTTTTGTGGCACCACTAAACAAATTGATTATTAAGTTGTCAAAATCTCATGAAACAACTGTTTTTGTTCGCTGAGATGCATCTAGACCATCCCAATCAGAAGATGGTATGATATGAATGTCAAAATTTGAGTCCAATCCATTGCCAGTGACAAAACGAGCACCAGCTGTTTGTTTCAACTTCAGCCAGTCCTTTTGGCTCACTGCAGTCATTTTGGGAAGAGCTCACAGCACAGAATCAACACAAACACAAAACCTTGGTGTTTCCCCCACCCAGTGGGGGTGGAAAGACAAGACTTGGGGGCTCCACTCTAGCAAAAACTACCATCAACACAAATGAAGCACCATGTCAAAAATGGCACGGCAAGAGCAAAGAGCCACTCTTGAAGTTTCAAAGCATTTCCTTGGCTGGATGGATCGAAGGGCCTGCACGACCAAAGGTCAGGGCCCTGTCATTCAGTGATTTGGAGATGTTGCGACTTCGACATTCTATCTTGAACTTGGATGTTGGCTGTCTGAATACTGCGCTCACTAGGAGTTTGCATCACTAGGACTTTGGCCTTTTCCTTGTGCTGCGACCGAGAGGCCTTGGATGCGTTGGCCATGCAAGAAGGCGATGTGGTTGCCAGTGGTGGTGCAGGAGCTGGGGCTTTGGCATACTTGAGCTTGCTTGCTTGCTTGCGCTTAGAGCTTGAAGACTTTAAAAAAGTTTGATCGCAAGGGTGTTACCTAAGGATCCTGTTGATGAAGTTCACACTTGGAAATAGACATTTGCCAATCATACAAGTGATTCTCTTGCACAGAAGCTTGGAATGATTGTGTTTGTGTTGCCAAGGGACAAAGTTGAGCGAAGAGTGTGTGTGAACCTTATTCTTGGTTCCCCGGTTCCAGCTACAGTGCATTTTTGTAAATACAAGATTTTGAGATTTTGAAAATACAAGAACGACTGAAAAGCAGTGCATTTTTGAAGGTTAACGACAGATTTTGCTTTTGTTGCTTGAAGAGCGCAACTACCCTTACAAAAGGTAAAATCGACGCAGCAGTTGAGGATAATGCCATTTGATACGCGTTGATCAGGGTGGGTGGAAAGTTGGCGCCCCTTTCTTTCGGAGCAATCTCTTGTGGCTGTGGGGTGGCCCTACCTACGTTTCGCTGGCCGTCAAAAAGTTGGTTCGGTGGGCTTTGCCGGTGGGCTCCGCCTTCGCCTTTGTCTTGTTTTGGGAGTGTCCTGCAAAGTAGACTGCTGTTGTTGTCCTTTGCTTGGCGTTGTGTTTGTGCCGGGTGACGTGCGTCCCAACGACGATGCGGTGCCTCGGACACCCCCAGACATGCTTTCAGGTGCGTCTCCTGCCTTTCCTACGTGTCTCCTCGGTTATGTTTCCCTTTTTGGTCAGGCACTACCGC